TTTTTTTGCTGATATCAGACATTGTTACTTTTCTATTGTTGAGAGCTGGATATTTTTGTATTCCTATAAATATTATTGAGTTTAGTTCTAGGACAGTTAAATTAATAGGAAACAGTTTGCTCTTTTTGAGTTTAAGATTGGTTAGATGGGACTAGAATAGCACTCAGTCCAGGGATAACATTCCTCACTACTGAGGCAAGACCCTTCTGTGCAGATTAGTCCATGCCCTGTGTTGCTGCTTTTCCCAGTCTGGCTGGTGGGAACAGGTACGATTCCCAGTGCTCTGTGTATGCAGGGCAGATGGCACTGGTCCTCTTTCATTGTTCCCCTGGTTTTGCATGGTTTCTTCACTTGCATAACTGTTTAGTTCTCAGATGCCACTCAGAGGACACAGTGTGTGCTCTGGGGCTTTCTTTCTTTCAGGCTCTGGTGTTCCATCCTTCAAATTCTAGCTGTCTGTTGCCCAGACTCTCAACTGCACATTGTCACCTTGGGAGCCTGCCGGTGCCACACCTGGCACTTCTCTGCAGCCAGTAAGCTGGGGCTCGTGTCTTTGTTTCCCATTTCTCATGGATCACTGCCCCTCGTCTACTAATAGCCAGTGCCTCATGCAGTGTTGTTTTATATATTTGTGCTTTTAGTTGTTTCCACGGAGAGGGTAAAGACTGTCCTCATCACTTTGTCTTGGGCATAAGTAGAAGTCTAGCTTTATCCTTTAGATACAAAAATATGATTATAGCTATTATTAAAAACCCTCTAATGTGTCCATTGCCTTTAGGATAAACACTGAAATTCCTGGACGTGGTCTAAATAGCCTTCATGAAACGCCTCTGCTTACCTTTCAGCTTCACCACAAGACACTCGTCCTCTTGCTGCCTTTGTTCCCCACCCTGGACTCATGTCAGCTTCTGAGGGCACCTGTCCTCTGCCAGCCTGGTCCTCTATCCATGCCTCCATTCTCACCTGGCTCCACTGCTGATGCTATATTCTGCCCATTGTAAGATACAGACATAAATCTGGCTCCTGCAGAGAAACTGCTGACAGCACCTTGACCTTCTTTCTGTATCTTTATTCAATCACATCCAGATAAAGTCACCCAAAGACTACAGCCTCTCTCCTTGCCACGCCCTTGCCCCTGCTTGTGCTTCTGGTGGAACTCTGCTCAGATGGCTCCTGTTGGTACTGTAAGAATCCAGGCAGCGGCATCTCCTCTTGAAAACTTCCCACAGACTTCTCTCTTCCCCTTTCCTTCCCAAGCTGAATGAGGTTTCTCTCCTCTGTGCTTTCTTAATAGCCTCCTTATGCCTCTGCCACCGCGCCTTCCAAACTCTATTATGAGCATTTGTTTTCTTTTCCTTCTTTCTAATGGGGGTAGAAATGGGGTCTCTGTGATTCTTCTCTGTATCTCCAGACCCTAGCAGAGTGCCTTATGTGCATCTAGCTCGCTTTCAGTGCTTTTTGCTGGTAGATAAATGGCTGGAGAAGGTTCTTGCACCTGCAAAGCACTGCTATGAGGATGTGTGGATGCTGGAACTTTCCAGGGAGAGTTCTGCCCTTGGAAAAGGAGTTACATTAATCAAGTAGAACCAATCATATTGTATGTTATGGCCAATGCAATTAAGCCTTTGTCAAACTGCCTGCCTCTGGCTGAAGATGAGAACATTGATGAAATGCCTCTCAACTGCCTGGGTTGGGGTCTGCTGAAATGGGCAATTACTGCAGTGAACAATCCATTACTTGTACTGTCAACAGTGTTTTTTCTCTCTTTAAATGCAGAATGAAGTGGAAAATGCTGTGGGAACTCAGTGACATTTAATTTACTGATATGATGTGTGGGAGCCATTCTTTAACCCAGCTGTGACAGCAGTTGTCGGGGACTGGCATCAGGTTGGGATGTGCTGGAGAAGTAGCTTTAACCATCCTGAATCTTCCTCTTCCCATATGTAAAACTGAACCGATGGCAGAGAATGCTTTCCACACCATGTGGTTACTATGGCGATCGACTGAGATGCACTGACTGATATGCCCCTAGCCATGCCAATTTCTTTTCATTCTGCTTGCTATTCCACAGAGGGGGAAATGAGTGGCAGATCTCATTTTCTTCTTGGAATTGAGATAGTTGCTAAAAAGGTGTGATATGGGAAGGGTGTGGTGCTAGCATGCACACTCCCAGTGAGGGGCAGGCTGCCCAGCTTTCTAGTCACGGTGTACTTAGAACCTTTTGGGTGGCACACTAGGGTGACTGGACAAGGTGTCTGTAATCAGGGGGCCCTGGCTTGGGACTTGCCCTGCCTGTGTGCTTCAGGGCCAGGGAAATCAGTATCTTGGCATGCTTCTCACACAGCCTTGGCACGCCAGTGAGGAAGCTCTGTGTGGGCTCACCCCATCACTTGGCATCCCTTCCGAGAGGCTCCCAGCAAATACCACCAGATGAACTCAAGCTGTGCTATCAGCATGTCTGGTTGGAAGCTAACGGTCAGGACGGAGGCCGGCACCAGGTAATATGACTGAAGAGCTCTTTTTGTACCAGGGTCCCACAAGCCAGAGTTGCAAACAAAAACAAAGAACTCATCATTGACTAATTAAAGCAAAAATAATATACATGAGAGATGATTAGGCACCGATGGAGCCTTGGAATGGCAGAGTCAGTCCTGGAAACTCTATGCCCAGGGCAGGACCCGGCCCACCCAGTAGGCCCCGGGGGAGCGTGGACGCCACCCAGCATGAGGCCAGATGTCCACCCTGCTGCTATGAAGAGCTGCACGTTTACACCACCACCTCCATCCCCCAAAGGGGACCTCTCAGGTCTTTGTCCTCTGAATGGAGGTCACATGCAGGAGTGTGTTCCTGGGGCCTAGGTCACGTGTCTGCGCCTTGCCTGTAAGGTGGGCTGGACAGACAGGGGCCACTTTGTACTATGGCCGGGTGGGGCACACGCATGGGATGTTGGTCCCACATAAGGAGGCTCTTCTGAATCAGCCAGTGGGGCTCAGTGGGGCTAGTGCCCACAGCACCTCTTAAAGCCACATGTCATTATTGTCCCTGTAAGCCAGGGCCCTTCCAATCTCTTGTAGGTTGGGGGACACTACTGTCACCCTCCCTGTGTACCAGCTCAGAGACCCAAAACTGGACTTGCTCCGAGCTTGCTGCGAGCACTTCCATGCAGCCTGTCTCCTACTCATGACTGTTGTGTCCCTGAACATCTCGTCATTCTGCCCTAGTTCTGCAACCCGACTTGGGGCGCCAGGCCCACCGACCTCTCTCACAAGGGGATAGCAACACCCTTCTGCGGGCTTCCAGCCTTAGGCTGCCCCACACCAACTCTTCCTCCCTACCGTGCCCGGAGGTATTTGCTAAAGTGTCATCCTCTTGCTTAAAATCGCTCGGTGGGTGTCCATAGCCTTTATAAGAGAATTCAGCCTCCTAGATCTCGGGTGACAGTTTGTATTTACTCCTCGGCCTCTCCAGTAAGGTGCTTATTCTCCGGAATAAAGACAGCTACCGCGTACTTACTGTATACTAGATATGCCCTGCCAGAGGGTCCTCACACAGTGGCCTGGAGCTAAGCTCCATTTACACAGGATGGAATGGGGGCCATGGCAGTCGTGTGGCCCCAGCGTTCATGCGCGGGTCCGTCTGTGCCCGTGTGTGCACGACTCCAGCCAGGCCTCTGCCCCATCTCCAGGGCATTGCTCACAGCTGCCGGAATAGGAATGCGCTTTCTCCCGCTTCCGCCCATCTGTCTGCTCCTCTCCTCCTCCCTCCAAGGGCTCCTTCCTTGTTCCCCTGCCTGACTGCTGCTTTCCTCCTCTCAGAGCCTCGCCAGCCCTCTCTGCGTCACCAGGGGCCACGTGGCCCCTCCTCCCAGCCTGCCAGTCCTCAAGGCTGAGAGCTGGGGTGGTCCTTTTCACAGGCTGACAGAAGGGGCCCAGCTCCGGGCCCCCAGGGTGGCTTGTGTCACACGCAGCATCCTCCAGGGGCACAGCAATTCTTCCTGCTGCAGGTAGCCAGGTGGCATCAGCCTAGCGACATGTGGGCCTGTGTCCCAAGAGTGCGCATGGGTATGAGTGGACTGACATGCACTTCCTGGCCTCATGTCCTGCCAGCTGTGACTGGAAGGAGACGGCCCCACTGTGCTGCGGGCTGTGTTGTCTTCCCACACTCAGATGTTCTCTGGGGCACTTATAACAGCCATCTTCTGGCTAGATTCTAAAAACAGTGGGTTTTATTGCTCCAAAGATTTTACACAAGGCCTTACTTGGAGGAGAGATGATTTCTGAGAGGATAAGGTTGGGGTGGGAAAAGGGATCCTGTGCACTTGGATGAAATGCAGAGTCACCTCCTCCTGCCCAGGGCTCCTTCCAGAGCTTGGAGGTGGCGTGGCCGGCTCTACGGTGTCGGGGTTACTGGGGTGGTCCCCATCTGTGAGTCAAGCTCCAGCCTGTTAGCTCAGTGCTAAGCTTCTTTATGCCTTTCAGACCCACCCCATAATTTCTCTTCCTCTACACCATATAGGGAGCAAACGAATGCTGTTTGAATTCAGTCAGTCTCTGGATAAAGCTAGCATGGAGGGCAAGGGTCAATGACCATCACCCCCTCCAGCCTCAAAGCATCTCAGAAGGAGCTCTGGGTCTGGGCCTTGTCACAGCCTTGGAGAGACATGCCGGGCGCTGGCACAGGGAAGGCCCTCACAGCTGGCCCATGGGGCCTTGTGGGGTCGTCCAAAGGCACCACAGTTAATCTTATTAGTCCATGCAGGCCTCTGGCTACAATGAAATGTGTAAATATTTGTGAATTCTCTAAACCTTTTCAGCTGCCAGGATAGGGAAATATGGTCAGTCAATAAATTTACAGGAGATTACCAAGAGTTTATGGTTATGATTAGCAAATACAACTTGCCCCACCATGGACAGCTTGAGACATGGGCCAAAATGTTTCTCATGATTTGTGCCCCCAAGACCTCCCCTTCTCAGAGTAAGGCCCCTGGCACCTGTACGTACCTGTGGGGACAGCACTGTGGGCCTGGCCGGCTGCTGGCTGGGCTGAGTGCCGCAGACAAGTGCCCATTGCAGGAGAGGCTGCCTGGTGAGGGGACTGGGCTGTGCTGAGGGGAAAGGCAGGTCTCGTGGCAGGTGCCGGGCTGCTCAGACTCCCACCACCTGGGTGAATGGTTGTGGCGATCCCTTTGGCCAGTGGAGACCCTGCAGCCACGTTATTCCGGGGCAGTTTGGGGCCTCCTGCAGGAACCCTGAGGACATAAAGTACAATCGAGTCAGGAGAGGGCACAGATGCTGCATGGCGCAGGCCGCTGGCAGAGGCCCATTTACCTGGTGCTCGGGGCTCTGCAAGGCAAGGTCATGCAGTCCAGGGCTCAGACCCTGAAGCAAATCCCTGGAGGCCAGTGGGGCCCAGAGCTCAAGCTTGACAGCAGCTCACCCAAATAAAACCGTATGGGGCTAACTCTGGGTGTGATGAGAGCCGGTTACCGTTGAAGATATAGTAATAGAACACTGAGAAACAGGCGGGATCAAGGCAATCGGATATTCTGTATCAGAGCTTCTGCCTAGATTTTTTTCTAGCAGCTGTGTGTACCCAAACATGTCCAGCAAGAGCAGATGACTCAGTCACACCCATGAGGCTCGGACACATCTGGTACATGGGGAGTGATGGCAAGGACCCAGCTCCTCCTGGACATGCCCTCCTGCTTCTGCCGGTCTCTGGGAAGAGGCGCAGACAGACCATGTTCTGCTGGGGGTACCAGGGAGCTTGTGGCTTTATACCAGACGCAGATGCCCTTTCACCTGGGCTTCAGAGGACACCAGACAGTTGTCCAGAAATACAAAAGGAGCACTGGGACTATGGAAACAGGCTTATAGTCCTTTGGCCCTACATGTTCATGCGTGAAACCCATGTGCTGGCTGACGGGGCAATCTCTGGTAGCATCTGGGGGCTTGGAAGCTTTTGTGGGTCCCAGCGCTGTGTCAACCTCCCTGCTGTCCCCTCAGGTCTAGGTCATGAGGCAGGGGAAGCCATGCGTGGGAGAGGAGTGTCACTGCGGGGCCATAGCTTCTGGCCAGGTTGGAGGGCCCCATCTCCATGAGCTGGTACTGCTGGGCTGTGACTCTGGCCAGGGAGGAGCCTGCAGCACCAAGCCAGCACTTCTGCAGAACAGCACTGGGGAAATAGCCTCTTGGGACCTGGACCACGGGCAGCATCATGCTCAGCCCATAGAAATTCATCTCTAGCAAGAAACTCAGCCAGCTAGCCAGACCAAACTGAGTTTTTAAGTGACATCTGCTCACTTTCACCCCAGGAAACAATTTTTAAAAATTGATTAAAGTGGGCTCACAAATTATGGGCCTTCCCAGGAAGGGCTGTTAGAAGACACAATGAGAGGCCCACCTTCAAGCCAGCACTGGTCCCCTCGGAGCTTTGAAAGGTATGAATCAGTGTTGCCACAAATGCAAGCCTGGACATTAACTTTTCTCATGGCAGTCCGGCTCTAAGGGGAGCCATGTGTTCAGTTCACTGGCATCCAGGGCTAACGCAGGGCTGGGCCTGGAGAGGGTTCCAGGAATCAGACTGACAGAATCAATAGTGGATTCCTCATCTCAATGAAAAGTTCTCAGACAACTCTGGGTTTCCTCTTTCTCAAATTCTAAAGATTACTTTCTCTATTTACAAAAACAGTACAACAGTAAACCTGCAAAAGGCAGGAAAACACAATGAAGAAGAAAAAATGTTAATTGCCCATAATGCTACTTCAATAATTGTTACCTTTTGGGATGTGGCCTTTTTCCTTTGCATATATGCATGTGTGTACACATGTCTCTATGTGAGGACATGCACACCCCCCACATGCTCACACACACACGCATGTGCACACTCACTCGATAGCACCATCTGTGGTGACCGCCCCTCCCTCCTGAGGGCTGCGGCCCTGACTCCAGCTCCTTCTGTGCCCTCTTCTGCCTCCGCAGGCAGTGTCCACTGAGGGGAAGACAGCAAAACCCAGCTCAGGAGGTGAAACGCTGCGGGGAGCCCTGCTCAGGGGTGCTCGGAGCTGGTGGGAGGCAGGGGTGCCCCCGAGGGCCCTGGGGCTGTGCTCCCCCCTCCCAGGCAGCCAGGGCCTCACCTGGAGACAGGCGTCACGTAGTTGCCCGGAAACACCCCAGAAAGCCCGGTTCTCAAGGAGGCGCCCTTGAACCAGCCGTCCTGACACTTCTCAAGGACGCGGTACGTCTCGCCCCTGCGCAGCTCCAGCTCGTCGCTCTTCTGGGGCTTATAGGCATAGAGTGCGAGGTACCTGCAGGGGGAGGATGTGGGGCCAAGGGTCACGGGGCTGGCAGGGTGGGTCAGGGCACCCAGCACCCCCAGGGTCATGGGGGAGCCCATTGCCGAGGAGCCTGTGACTTGGGGGCTGGGCTGGTGCACACCACGTCCCACCTGCTTTTTGCAGGGAACCAGCAAGGTGGTAGGACAGGGAGGATCCCACATGGATCGCACACCTGGAGAGCCAGGCCCTGGGAGACCACACCCTACCTTGAGGTCCCAGAGGCCGCGGTCACTCCACAGCTCCACGCTGACCTGGGCAGGTTGCATTAGCCCCACCAGTGTCCCGAGTAGACGGCTGGGGCCCAGATCTTTAGGCCTCATCATTTTCCTGCTCTCTGAACTGTCTAAGGCCTAATGCTTGGGCAAGAGAACATTCTAGGGAAAACCGAGAGTGTTTCCCTCATTTAATCTCGACCATCCGAGGTTTACGCCAGGGTTGCCCAGTCAGCCTGGGCTGGAAGACACTGCGGAAGCCCCTTCAAATAAAAGGCAGTTCAGCTGGGGAAGTCTTGCTTGCATCCTTCCTTACAATACTCGTATCATGCTAATTATTTAAATCTACTTTTCTTCTAAGCCTATTTGAGGACAAGTGAAGAATGCACTCCATGGTGTGCATCCTGGCCTGGCGTTTAGGCACTGTGCCTCTAACTTAGCCCCTGACCGTGGGCAAGCCCCTCTTGAAAAATGCTTAATGACTTCCTTCCCCAGCCTCAGGGGGTACGTGCAGGGACCCGCTTACTACGTGCAAAGTGCTTGCTCCTTTGAGGGCTTGAGGATGTGCTGGCTTTGTACTAATGGAGAGAACCGTATCAGACAGCTGTATTGCTCCCAAGATTCAGGCAGGAACGCTGGTGGGTGCTTCAGGGCACTAAGAAACCAAAGAGGAATTCTAAAGGAGTGGCTCCTCACGGAACTCCTCCTGGATGGACTACGTGGTGTGCACGTTGAGACTCCAGGGGCCCTGGGCAGGTCTCTGGGGAGCTGAGGAAGCTCTCAGACCCCCGAGCACCTCATAGCCCTTGCGAGGGCCTTCTCAGCAGGTGAACACAAAGTAGAACCCACCCGAGGGTCCCAGCAAGAAGGAAGGAGGCCTCCTGGGCCAGAGGCCTAGTGAGGAACACCCCGGAACAGAATGAGAGCCCCGGGGAGAGTGAAGATAAAATCGGGTAAAACCTGCCACCCTTCCTCACCTTAGTAATTTCCTGGCTTACAGGGCCCCTCCCACCCCTCCCTGCTGGATGACAGGTCGGTTACATCTTCCTCTGATGAAAAGATACACATCCCTGACAACTAGGCAGAACTCTGGGCCTTGGGGAGAGTTAATGAAGCCGCCACAGAGAAGCCCCCCTGCCTGCTGAGGGCATAAGGAGGCATTCAGGATCTGATGCCTAGTGACAAGGGCAGAGAGCCCAGGGCCTCGTCTTTCTGTCTCACATTTGATGACTCTCAGGGAGCTCTTTGATGTGATGGAGGAACTCCTACAAACAGAAAAGCCAGGTGACAGCTCAGGGGCTTGGGGTAGGCTTCCGTGCATGGGCAGGGGCCGAGGGAGGAGAGGAGGGGCTGCAGGGCTGGGCTCTGCCAGAGGCTGTGCTGGACGGCCCTCTGCACCTGCTCTCAGGGAGTGTGACTGAATGCGATCCTGTCTGCCTCACCCTGTCTCTCACGATTCTGTGGCCTTGGGTAAAGGGGCAGGTTCTGTGACCAGGGGCAGGCCAGGCTGGGGTGGCGGCTACTGGTGGGGGCTGTGCCACACAGGGAGGGAAGCCATGTGCTGCCGCACTCCCTTGCTGGGAGGAGGGCAGCAAACATGGGGCTCTCGTCCCCTGAACAAGTCTTGGCAGCTCAAGTCCCATCCTACTCACTCCTGGGGCCCGTGCAGCATCCAGTGGGGCGATCAGGGTCCCCCGCTGGCCTGTGCTGTGCCAGCCGTGCCCTCGACCCGCAGGCCCAGGAGAAGACCAGTCCCATGGGCCTCAAGCACATGTTGCACAGGTCCCATGAAGGACTGGGCACTGGGCCATCCCCTGGTATTCCAACTGCCTGTGCGCAAGTGGCCTCAGGTCACAGAACCTGTAACAGGGAGAGACTCATGGCTCAGGGTCCCCCTGTAGGGGCTCTGCCGCCTTGTTGCCTCTGCCGGAGGCTCTTGGCAAACACGGAGGCCTCAGGCCAGCAGCCCTCCTCAAGGAGGGACCATGACACGGAAGTTAAATGCCTATGCTTCAAGGTCATGGCCCCCACCGATGTGCGGTCTGAGCTGCTTTGAGCAGCTGTGTCCACCTGTGACACATCGACCTGTCCTTAGCTAGGATCCAGGAAAGAGGTGCCACCTGCTGACCTGGGGTCACCTCCCCTGTCCATGGCGGGTGGGGCGGAGGCAATGGACAGATGGGAGGGGAGGTGAAGAGGAGCAGAGACCTGGGGTTGGAAAGGCTTCTTTTAGCAGGTTTACCGAACTCTCCCTTGCTTGGGAGATGTCCAGGTTCCCTCCAGCAGGGTTTGGTGGGCAGCCTGGAAAAGGGAGTGGCTGTGACGGGCCCTTCTCTGCCCCCTGCCTCCTCTTCCACCCTCTAGGACCTGGGTGACGTTAGTGGGCCACCAGTGTGCACCTGCCGAGTGAAGTGTAAAGATGGGGATGAGGGGACACCTCCCGAATGATGTATTGTCCCTCCCAGAGACAGGGCTGACCCCAGGCCATGCAGGTAAGGCTTATGCTGGCTCGGCAGCCTGGGGACTGGGGACACCCCCCCCACACCTGGCCCTGTGAGCCACATCCATGACCATGCTGCTTCCACAGCTGGGAGTTCACTCCAGCGAAAAATAAAGCAAGTGTTATCCACTGACTGATACCCTTCCAACCAACTGAGTTGTTTCACAGTCATGTTTGTGATTCCAGGGGAGGAGCCATCAAATAGTGGAAAGTGAACTGTCTTTTGGGAATAAGCTGAATATCTTTTCCTTAGCATTTCAGGATCTCCATGCCATTTAGCAGAACAAAGACTTTTTGCATTCACTTCTCAGCATAAAAGGGGAGTTTCTACCTTCCCATCAAAATAAAAATGAAGGTTTCTTAGATTGTGGGCCTCAAGTCATCTCATTAAGACCTTTAGTTCAGAAAATGTTCTTTCCAATTCTGTTTTTGTCATAGATAAACACACACATGGTTCCTGAGGAAATAATAATGGCAGGAGGATGGGCAGCCTTGGGGTGAACTTGGCTGGACACCAGCTGCCCAGTTTGTCCGGCGTGGACTGAGTGTGAGGCCATTGCCATGTGGCAAGGACATCAGAGCCATGCCCACTTCCTGGAGCACATCTCAGCACAGGGAGAGCTGAGAGACGGCACCACTGAAGCTGGTTTGCAAAAAGAGCCCGATAAACTGCATGCCTCTTGCACACAGGGAGTTGCATTTCTTCTGCAATTTCAGGTCTTTTATTTAATAAATGCTCAGTGATGCAGAGGATTTAAGTGCCTAACAGCAGGCAGTGCAGACAGGTGCCACTCCAAGGATGTCCCACCCCAAGGGATGAGATGCTCCCTTCCTCAGAACAGCTCTCAAAGTCATCAGAGCCAAAGACTCTGGCTTCAACATCTTTATAAGGAATTGAGGTCTGAGGGCCCTAAGGACAGTGGTGCAGGGCTCCACCCCCACCACAGGTGTGTGGGTCCCCTGCTGAGGCAGGACTGGGCAGAAGGGCAGACGAGGGGCAGTGGTCACATGGCAGTGTTCCGCAGTCTCCTGAAGTCCTGCACAGACTCAGAGGCTGGGATTGCCCCTCATTTCACAGCTGAGGAAACAGGCTCAAAAAGAGAATCTGTGTTTAGGCGGCGAGGCAGAGGCAGGCTGGATTCTGCAGCCCAGGGGCTGGGCAGGGCGAAGTGAGGGGCTGCTGAAGAGACAAGAAGGGCCAACCGGGGATGGCCAGGGGGCACTGAGTCCTGAGCCAGGCATGTGATCCCCCACACAGGGAGCCTACACCGGTCTGCACCAGTGTGCAAATGCATTTGTTCACTTCGTCTTTATTTCTTATTTCTTATTTATTTATATATTTATTTTGTTACCATTAATCTACAATTACATGAAGAACATTAAGCTTACTAGGTCCCCCTCTTCACCAAGTCCCCCCCACATGCCCCTTCACAGTCACTGTCCATCAGCGTAAGATGCTGTAAAATCACTACTTGTCTTCTCTGTGTTGCATAGCCCTCCCCGTGCCCTGCACGCACTATACATGCTAATCGTAATGCCCCCTTTCTTTTTCCCCGCCCTTGTCCCTCCCTTCCCACCCATCTTCCCCAGTCCCTTTCCCTTTGGAAACCGTTAGTCCATTCTTGGGTTCTGTGATTCTGCTGCTGTTTTGTTCCTTCAGTTTTCCTTTGTTCTTATATTCCACAGATGAGTGAAATCATTTGGTACTTGTCTTTCTCTGCCTGGCTTATTTCACTGAGCATAATACCCTCTAGCTCCATCCATGTTGTTGCAAATGGTAGGATCTGTTTTTTTTATGGCTGAGTAATATTCCATTGTGTATATGTACCATGCCTTCTTTATCCATTTATCTACTAATGAACATTTAGGTTGCTTCCATATCTTGGCTATTGTAAATAGTGCAGCGATAAACATAGGGGAGCATCTGTCTTTTTCAAACTGGAGTGCTGCATTCTTAGGGTAAATTCCTAGAAGTGGAATTCCTGGGTCAAATGGTATTTCTATTTTGAGCATTTTGAGGAACCTCCATACTGCTTTCCACAATGGTTGAACTGATTTACATTCCCACAAGCAGTGTAGGAGGGTTCCCCTTTCTCCACAACCTCGCCAACATTTGTTGTTGTTTGTCTTTTGGATGGCAGTGATCCTTACTGGTGTGAGGTGATATTTCATTGTGGTTTTAGTTTGCATTTCTCTGATGACTAGCAATGTGGAGCATCTTTTCATGTGTCTGTTGGCCATCTGAATTTCTTCTTTGG